GGAGGATCGTAACTGGAAATTGCAGGATTTTTCTCTATTATCGCAGAATAACCAGTTACCCAAATATGGTAACTGGTTACCATATCAAAATTTGAAACACGGATGGCTACTGTCTTGTAGTAACCCGTTACCATAAGTGGTCGTTCAATTACTGCGAGGAAATTTGTAATGGAACAAGGTTACTATCTTGCGGTAACCGGTTACCATAACTGGGTAACCTGTTACCACTACCACTGACAACATTTTTGGAAAAACTTCTAAAACTCGTAACTTTGGCCTCAGGTGTCTGTTTGACGCGCCTTTTGGACTGTGGAAAAGATAAAATAATTTCCGATCTTATAAAAATAACTTATAACGCAGTAGTTATCAAAAAATATAAAGTCGTCTATTATATAGAAGCCTAAATAATTTATAAATAGGTTTTTGAACTCTTTTAAAAGAATTTAAATAATTTTTATTTATACTTAAATATGCAAATTACAACTCTTAAAAATTTTAAAACATAATTATATGTTATTGACAAAAATTTCTATTTAATACTATTTAAAATCATTCAATTAAACAATTAAGAAATGACAAAATTTGACAACAACAATTATAATATAAATCTTAAAGAAAGTCATCATAGAAATACAAAATATTAATATTTATTTATTTATAATCTAACGATGTTCAATTTTTCAATAACACTGCCCAATAGGATAATTTATATATTCCTAAAGCCAATAATAACAATGCGTTATGAGAATTCTCCCTCATCGGCCCGCGTCTCACTTTCACAAATTGACTATATTAAGTATATAAAAATAAATAAGATACATATGACAATTGAGTATGTAAAAATAAATAAGTTCTGTTAGGTAATATTCAAGAAATGTTTTCTTTTTGCATAAACAAATATGGTGAATTTCTAAAACTTTAAAATATATGGAAAAAATCTTACTACATTATACGATTTTGCAATGGTCATCTATTTACCATAAATTTAAAAGAAGTCATGATGGAAACCGTAGCCACATGTCATTTTTTGTAATAATTATAGCCACATGTCATTTTGGTAACAAACTCTATATTAAAATTAATAATTATAACCAATACTTGAACCAATAACATCAATATTACCATTACCTATTTTAACCATTATGTCATTGTTTTTCTTTATGACTTCTTTGTCAATATATATTTAAATTTTTATTCAAAATATTTTGGAAATTTTCCAAAAATCCTCCACCATTTTCGAAATATATCTAAATCTATTATTCAGGAAATTTCATAATTTCATATAAAGGTATGTTACAATTTGAATCATTACTTGTAGTAAGTTAAGTTTTCACTCATCCCCAAATAGATTGATAGAAAAGCTTCGAACCAATTATTCATTATAAAAAGCGTGCATAACTCACACACAAAATCTCGGTACCATTGATCAGGTTATCAATATGACACATAAATAAGACCTTGTGACTCATATCCTTTTCGGGAGAATTTAAGAGTCAAATTGTAAAATCTCAAATTTTCATCCGAGACCTGACTAAAAAATTATCAAATACTTGTTTTAAATGGAAATAAAATTATTAAAAAATTTAATAAATTCCACCTCAAGCTACATTCCTAAGCGGAAAATCACCGCACTTCTAATTTCAATAAAAAATACTAATTAAATGATTCTAAAATGTAATGCAGTTGATTTAGTTTTACATAATGCTGTTGAAAGAACCCTTCTTTCCCCGCGAGCAACATCAAACAGACATCAATCACTTTGAGAACTCCATATTTGTACCTAAGATGTTGTTGTAAGGGTCAGTTACCCATGTCAAAATAAACTAAATAAGAGTTAAAAATCAGAGAAATACCAATACACATATCATGTCCAAGAGAATTTAATAAAGGTACTCACCAAAAATTATTAACAACAAAACTATCAACTTAACACGGATTACACGTAAGATTTAATCACAATTATCAACAATCAATCACATTTCGGCCAGATGCAGAATATGCATGCTCTTAAACTATATGATCCAGATATAAACTGCCACACACGCAAACACGCCACAAAGGCAAACACGCTACAAAGGGAAACCCTCCACAAACACACCACACAAAATTTATCTCATGTCAATGAGGAAAATAACCCGCCACTAAAGCACCATATAGAAATGCATATGCCATAACATGTATGATAAAAAATGAAATAGAATCACCTTCTATTAAGACAAGCACCAAGATGTTTATACCCGCCACTATGACAACCACATAATACATGTAGTATTTATTTCTTCTTATCTAAATAAAGATATATCACAATTTATTCAATTCATTGAAGAATTGATACAATATACTACATTAATATAAATTAACTCTCATTTTATTTATTTAAGTATTGCAACATTCGTACCAACAATTATTATGTCAAATCAAAGCAATAGGTCTTGAACAAATTTATATTTAGGGTATTAATTTGTGCATGGTTGTTCAAATTTAATGATCTTACATAAACCCTAACACCACCACCCAAAAGCAATTATAGTTTCCAATCGAAAAAAATTGATAAAATTCTTACTATAACAGCCCAGGCCCAAGTCATTTGACCAAAAAATGAGTAAAAAACTCAAAATTTAAAATTACCAATCTAACCTTAAGTATTATCAATCATATTGACAAAATTTTATCTCTCACATTTTAAGGGAATAGATAAATTTTCACTCAAGAGGTATGAAAAATGTTAAGTATTGCTCAAAAATTTCTCAAACTTTAATAAATATAATCGATAGTTTAATTTTGAACTTAATCTAAAATTGAAATTGTTATTTGTGATTTAGAAGTTTAAGTGTTATGAATATTAATTAAAGAAAAGATAAAGATATAATCAAAATAAATCACTAACTTATATTTTTTTTAAAAATTAGTTTTAAATATTAGATAAATCACGTACTATTAGTTTGTTTTTATTTTCATGAATTCAATATGACTCATTCATACATTTCAATTGTTCTCCATGTATTAATTATGACTCTTAGAGTCATACATGTAGTGTAAGAGTGAATATTATATAGTTATAAACACAAAGTAACCATATATGTTAAACCCTATTATGTTTATATTTATTTAATTTCTTAATCTATTCTTTGGATACAAACTTTTTTCTCTGGTATTAAAATTTAAAAAATATTGATTAAACATATTTTCTATATCATTTTATATTTAAAAATTAATTCAACATTTATAATGTATAAATTCTAAACATGTTTACTATTTTCTTTTTTCTACAAATAAATCCAAATTAAATACATTTTATCATAGTATTTTAAAAATACAAGTTAACTTAACCATTAATTTCATTAAATACAACAAATTCAATAACCTATAGGTTTTGTTTGGCAAGACAACTGTGTTTATGACTCTTTTTACAAAGTTATATTTAGCGTTAATAGATTTTGCCTTAACATTGGATAAATTAATATATTCAATAATTGTCATTTTCTTATGGTTTTATTTTCCTCACCTTAATTCCAAGAATCTTAATTAAAATATTAAAGTTAATTAAATTTATTTTTTTATGTCATTTGAGATTAATAAGTTTCTTCAACCATTACAATTATCTTACACTTCAAATTCAATCGACTTGTAAATATTCTGCTAGTACAAGTGAATGATTGGTTATTTGTTATTTTATACCCAAAAATTATTTATAAATGTATTTTATAGCTTTTTTTAATTAAATAAACCCACAACTTTATATATATTTTTCATTCAATATACAAATTAATCAACTAATTTACCCATTATCAACAAATATAAAGTCGTCTATTATATAGAATTATTTTTCTTTAAATCACTACTAAAAAAAAGACATTTAAGAAAAGGTTTTTACATCGGGTATCAAAATAGGTGATGTAAAAAATACAGTTAACAAACTTTTTACATCAGGTATTTATTTCCAATGATATAAAAAATAAGTGAAAAATTTTTTTTCGTCACCTATTACATCGGGTAATCTCATCCACCGATGTAAAAGATTTCCAGAAAAAAAACACGGTGGCATTTTTGTAAATAAGAAACAAGGTGACAAAAAAGTTAAAAAAAATATAAGAAAGCTATTACATCGGTCTAAAGACAAACCGATGTAAAAAATGATTCTTTGAATTAATATATAAATTATATTGAAAATTAATAAAAACGTGGAAAAAAAAAAACATATTAAATCGGTGGAAGTTCCCACCGATGTAAAAGCCTAAGCATTATTTAAAAAAAAAAAACCTATTATATCGGTGAATTATTCCACCGATGTAAAAGCCTAAGAATCATTTTAAAAAAAAAAAAAAACCTATTATTTCGGTCAAGTATCCCACCGATGTAAAAGCCTAAGAATTATTTAAAAAAAAAAAAAAAACCTATTAAATCGGTGGATGTTTCCACCGATGTAAAAGCCTAGTCATTATTTAAAAAAAAAAAAGACCTATTATTTCGGTGGAAGTTTCCACCGATGTAAAAGCCTTCCCCTTATATCGGTCAAATATTCCACCGATGTAAAAAGTTATAAACAGAATTTTCTTTTATTCCAGAAAACTGTTCATTTGCCATTTTCCGACCCATTTTCGCCGACCGCCGCTTCATCCCTCCCATTTTCGCCGACCCATTTTCGACTGTCACGACCCGTTCTTCGACGATTTTCCTCCGCCTACTGTCACGAATGGTAAAATACATACACAAGCATGAATTTAGGAGCGAAACGAAACCGTAATCGTATTTTGTGCTGCTACTCAACAAACCCCCGCTCTCCTTAAGATCCACTCTTTCCCTCGCCGATAACCGTCGCCGTCGTTCCATCATTCCTCGCCGTCCTTTTCCTCTCTTTCCATTCTTCAATTTCATTTTCACATTCCTTTTTCACATCGCGTGCCCTAGAATTATTTCTCATTTCGAAACCGCTCTTGAATTGGATTATCCATTTTTCTTCTCACCATTCACAATTTGTTGCCGAAGTTAATTCATGATAGATGGGAACACGGCCGCAGCAATCGCGTGTAGATGAAGAGGACGATGAACTGCTCGGTTGTGGAACGACGATTTCCGGCCAATCAGGCTCCACAAGCCGGAGTGCTGGGTTGGGGACCACCGCTGGTGATAGCGCTGCTCTCAAATTGAATCACCTTGACATACACGACGATGATGCTGCATCACAGGGAGTAGTTGCGTGAGTCTTCTCTAATCTTTGCACTTTCTAGATTCAATGTATTATGTAATGCATGTGTTGGTGATTTTCTGTGTACTTGCTGTTCTTCAAGTGAATTTTTTTATTCGTTACTGTTAGTTTAAATTGATTCTCAGCTACTCGTTGTTTAAGCAGAAGCAAGAAGAAAAAGAGAGGCCAACGAGCTGTTGGGGGTGATAAGAGTGGAAGAGGGCTTCGCCAATTTAGTATGAAAGGTTTATGATCTGTCTTATTTGACCATTTTGTTCTTTAATGTATTGTTTCATTAATTTTACTTTATCCTTGCAAAGTTGAATTTTGGAGGCTAATTTGAACTTGTGACATGCTTGCTTGTAAGAGTTTATGAAAGGTAGAAAGTAGAGGAAGAACAACTTACAATGAGGTTAGGACTTTACTTAAACCATTTTTTTTTAACTTTAAAAGCATAGTTCTTAATCATGGATAGCAAAGCGGAGTACCCGACTCAAAAAATGCTATACTAGGATGACCGCTATGCTAAAATATAATTCTTTTAAACAAATTAAATAAATGATTCTATAACTATAAGTACATACATGTTGGAAAGTTAAACTAATTACTAAGGGTTAATGTATTGTATACTATAGAATAAAATTGGTACTTACAATTAGTTTTTTAAATATTTCTGTCAATAATTATGCTTGATTTTTTTGGGGGATAAAACTGCTTGTGGTAATTATTGGCCTCAGGAACTTGTTGTGGACTTTGAAGCCTGTCTCCCCCTCACAACATGTTTTACCATTTATCTATATTATCTATCTCTTTTTATACTATTTATTATCCTTATTTTTGTTTCTTTTTTTTGTAATTTTTTAATATTATAGGTGGCAGATGAGCTTGTGGCTGAGTTTTCTGATCCAAGCAATAGTGTCTTGACCCCTGATCAGGTTTTCTCACTAACGATTTTAAAATTATTTGCTTTTTACATTTTAAAGGTGTAAGATAAGTATCGTCGGCTTATTTTTTTGGGGGAATGAAAATTTGTCAGCAACAATATGATGAGAAAAACATCCGTCGAAGGGTCTATGATGCTCTGAATGTTCTCATGGCTATGGATATTATTTCCAAGGATAAAAAGGAAATACAATGGAAAGGTCTTCCTCGTACCAGTCAGAGTGATATTGAAGAACTAAAGGTTGGCCCACAGTCTTGAGCTGTAACTTTTTTGCTCTGGCTTATATGCTTTAACTGCAGTGATGTTCTAAGCTAATCCTAAAATACAATGAAGGATTATTTTAACTCATTAATTTGATTAAATAGACAGAGCGTCTTGGGCGCAGGAATAGAATTGAAAGGAAAACAGCCTATCTGAAGGAGCTTGAGGAGCAAGTAAGTCCAGCCTACTCTAATACATTCAATAAGGGAATGCGATCTTGGACCTGGATTGGTGCTTTTGAAATATGCACTTGATTATAAGAAGATTCTAGCAAATTATGTCGTTTTTGTATTGTTCAGTTTCTGTTTGCTAACTGCTTCTATTATTATATCAAGTTTGTAGGTCTTCAGAAACTTATCCAACGAAATGAGCAAATATGTAGCTCAGGAAATCCTCCCAGTGGAGGTGTATCGTTACCTTTTATTCTCGTACAGGTATACCTTCATCTCAATATCTTCCATTTTGGTCATTTGTCTAGTAAAAAATATTGTTCAATTATGCTTTGGATCTTCAATTGTTTGATAATTATATTACATTGATATCAACCCACTACTGAGCATGTTAAATGAACTTAAGTAGCTGGCTTGAATTTTTATTTATAAATTTTTTAGTTATAAGATATTATTATGAGATTAGATCTTATCTAGCTGGTTAGTGAGTTCACAAGAAATTCTTTTTACTATTTTTTGGGCATTCATTTGATCTTATCGTTCTCATTGTTTTGTTCGGCTTACTCTGGTTGCCTATGCTCTATTGGTGTATGTTATGGGTTTGTGTGGGGAATTCTTGGCCATAGATCTCAGAAAGTCGCTAGCTTATTTTATGAAGAATTTTCTCATCCTGCTGGCTGCGGTTATGTGACTCCTAATGGTATTGCTATTTGATTAATCTCATATTTCTAAAATCTGTAGACACGTCCTCATGCAACTGTTGAAGTGGAAATATCAGAAGACATGCAGCTTGTTCATTTTGATTTCAACAGGTAAAGCTTAACCTGCCTTACTTGGCATTCTTTATGAGTCATGAGTCATGAGTTATGACATGATTAGCTTTAAGTCTTTCGACTGTCACGACCCGTTCTTCGACGATTTTCATTGGCGAGTATATTTAGTTATGTGATGTTTATATCTTTCTGTATTAGTTCTTTTGGGATTCATCAAATGGCAAATGGAAATAGAAAAAAGGCTACATGGCTTCATCCCAATGTAAGTGTGATGTAAATTATAATTCTATAGTTAAATATATACGATAAATATTCACTAATTATGTCATTCAATTGTAGACAAGGCAACAACATAACTCTAATGATTGTGGATACTATGTGATGAAAAATATGTTGGATATTGTCTCTGCTAATATAACCGAGAATTGGATGCAGGTACTAAAAATAACTTTACTTTGTTCTTTACTTTTTGTTTTTCGACTTAATATGAATTTTTAAAAAATAACTCTATATTGTTATATTTATGTATTATAGGTATTTGATGACCCAACAGAATTAACACCAGATGATTTGTATGATTTGCGACTTCGTTGGGCAAAATGTTTCTTTGACTTACATGGAACTTAAGTTTAGCTGGTGAGTTTTATAGAATTGTATAAGTTGTGGTTTTTCAACAATACATGTGGTTTTTGCTCATGTGTTGAGTTTCTTGATTTTTTTGCTGATGTTAATTGTTATTATTTATTGTCAGGCAATATGATTTTGGTGTTGTCTACCGAAGATTTTATATTGGTAATTCAAGTTTGGAAACTTAGAAATAGTTGAATATTTTAGTATATGTATATTTTGTGAATATTATGTAATTGTAAGTTTTGAAAAAGACTTATAAATAGTTGAATATTGTTTTATATTTTGTTAAGAATTTGTAATTGTAAGTTTGTATGTTGTAATACAATACAAGTTTGCAATACAAGTTTGTAATTGTAAGTTTGTTCAATTTGTAAGTTTGTTGTGAAAAATATGAAAACATCGTCCTAAATGTGATGTTGGAAAGCTATGAAATCTATATAGCGACATAAATATAGTCTGTTTGATATTGGAAAAATATGAAAAAATGGGTACAAATTATATTTGTATAGGGAAACCCAGAAAATAAATAATCTATTCCAAAAAAATTTCATACATTTTACATCGGTTATTAGTAAAACTGATGTAAAAACTTTCAATAAGGGACTTTTTACATCGGTTGGAAGTAATACCCGATGTAAAAAGTCGCGTCACTGGGGACTTTTTACATCGGGTATTACTTCCAACCGATGTAAAAAACTGGATCAATTTTTAAAAAAAATGTGCATAATAATTGTTTTTTACATCGGTTCATATATTATAACCGATGTAAAAAGGGTACTTTTTACATCGGGTATTACTTCCAACCAATGTAAAAAACTGGATCAATTTTTTAAAAAATGTGCATAATAACAGGTTATTACATCGGTTCTGATATTATAACCGATGTAAAAAAGGGACTTTTTACATCGGTCCCAGAACCGATGTAAAAAGTCCCTGATTTACTATATCACCTGACTTTACATCGGATCCAAAACCGATGTAAAAAGTCAATTTTACCCGATGTAAAAAGTCATTTCTGCACTAGTGAATATACAATTTAATCAACTAATTTATTATCAACAAATATAAAGTCGTCTATTATATAGAAGTCTAAATAATTTATAAATAGGTTTTTGAACTCTTTAAATGAATTTAAATAATTTTTATTCAAACTTAAATACACAAATTACAAATATTAAAAAATTTAAAAACATAATTATATGTTATTAAGAAAATTTTCTATTAAATACTATTTAAAATCACTAAATCAAAAAATTAAGAAATATTTAAAAATAAATAAATTTGACAACAATAATTATAATATAAATCTTAAAGAAAGTCATCATAAAAATATAACATAGTAATATTTATTTATTTATAATCTAACGATGTTCAATTTTTCAAAAACACTATCCAATAGGATAATTTATATATTTCTAAACCCTATAATAACAATGCGTTGTGAGAATTCTTCCTCATCGGCCCGCATCTCACTTTCACATATTGACAACATTAAGTATGTAACAATATATAAGATACATATGATAATATTGAGTATGTAATAATAAATAATACCTGTTAGGTAATATGGAAGAAATGATTTTTTTTTGCATAAACAAATATGGTGCATTTAAAAAACTTTAAAATATATGGAAAAAATCTTACTACATTATAGGAATTTGTAATTGTCTTCTATTTACCATAAATTAAAAAAAAGTCATAATGGCAACCGTAACCTCATATAAGTTTTGGTAATAATTATTGCCACATGTTGTTTTAGTAACAAGCTTTTTATTAAAATGAATAATAATAATAATAAAAATAAAAATATTAATAATAATAATAATAATAATAATAATAATAATAATAATAATAATAATAATAATAATAATAATAATAATAATATATTGTTAGATCTTCTTTTGGGAGTTTGCTGCAAACCATAGACAAGAAGAAGATAAAAATGGTACGACGAAAGAGGCACAAAATAAATTCCAAAGTGTGTATTTAGACTACTTTAGTTTCAATTCACCCCTACAAATTTAGACAAATTGAATGCAAATGAGTTAACTAGTGAATCCTCTTAAGGATACTTAGAAAACCTTAATATGAATCACACATTCACATTAAGCAAAATGATCAAAGTTTCCTTAATTATTCTTGTACACTAGAAAAATAAAGAAGAAAAACTTGTACCAATTAATGAGGAGAAACAATGTTTCGATTGTTTCAAAATGATGACTCAGAAACAATCATATATCCATAACGGTTAACACTAACACCAACTAGTACACTGGTTTGTTGGGTGCTTGCTCACCAACCTCGGCAAGTACAATAACCAATACTTGAACCAATATCATCAATATTACCATTAACTATTTTAACCATGATGTCATTGTTTTTCTTTATGACTTCTTTGTCAATATATATTTAAATTTTTATTCAAAATATTTTGGAAATTTTCCAAAAATCCTCCACCATTTTCAAAATATATCTAAATATATTATTCAGGAAATTTCATAATTTCATATAAAGGTATCTTACGATTTGAACCATTACTTGTAGTACGTTAAGTTTTCACTCATCCCAAATATATTGATAGAAAAGCTTCGAACCAATTATTCATTATAAAAAGCATGCATAACTCACACACAAAATCTCGGTACCATTGATCAGGTTATCAATATGACACATTAATAAGACCTTGTATCTCATATCCTTTTCTGGAGAATTTAAGAGTCAAATTGTAAAATCTCAAATTTTCATCCGAGACCTGACTAAAAAATTATCAAATACTTGTTTTAAATAGAAATAAAATTATTAAAAAATTTAATAAATTCAACCTCAAGCTACATTCCTAGGCGGAAAATCACCGCACTTCTAATTTCAATAAAAAATACTAATTAAATGATTCCAAAATGTAATGCAGTTGATTTAGTTTTACATAATGCTGTTGAAAGAACCCTTCTTTCCCCGCGAGAAACATCAAACATACATCAATCACTTTGAGAACTCCATATTTGTACCTAAGATGTTGTTGTAAGGGTCAGTTACCCATGTCAAAATAAACTAAATAAGAGTTAAAAATTAGAGAAATACCAATACTTATATCATGTCCAAGAGAATTTAATAAAGGTACTCACCAAAAATTATTAACAACAAAACTATCAACTTAACACGGATTACACGTATGATTTAATCACAATTATCAACAATCAATAACATTTCGACCAGATGCAGAATATGCATGCTCTTAAACTATATGATCCAGATATAAACTGCCACACACGCAAACACGCCAAAAATGCAAACACGCTACAAAGGGAAACCCTCTACAAACACACCACACAGAATTTATCTCATGTCAATGAGGAAAATAACCCGCCACTAAAGCACCATACAAAAATGCATATGCCATAACATGTATGATGAAAAATGAAATAGAATCACCTGCTATTAAGACAAGCACTAAGAGGTTTATACCCGCCACTATGACGGCCACATAATACATGTAGTATTTATTTCTTCTTATCTAAATAAAGATATATCAAAATTTATTCAATTCATTGAAGAATTGATACAATATACTACATTAATATAAATTAACTCTCATTTTATTTATTTAAGTATTGCAACATTCGTACCAGCAATTATTATGTCAAATCAAAGCAATAGGTCTTGAACAAATTTATATTTAGGGTATTAATTTGTGCATGGTTGTTCAAATTTAATGATCTTACATAAACCCTAACACCACAACCCAAAAGCAGTTATAGTTTTCAATCTAAAAAAATTGATAAAATTCTTACTATAACAGCCCAGGCCCAAGTCATTTGACCAAAAAATGAGTAAAAAACTCAAAATTTAAAATTATCAATCTAACCCTAAGTATTATCAATCATATTGACAAAATTTTATCTCTCACATTTTAAGGGAATAGATAAATATTCACTCAAGAGGTATGAAAAATGTTAAGTATTGCTCAAAAATTTCTCAAACTTTGATAAATATAATCGATAGTTTAATTTTGAACTTAATCTAAAATTGAAATTGTTATTTGTGATTTAGAAGTTTAAGTGTTATGAATAATAATTAAAGAAAAGATACAGATATAATCAAAATAAATCACTAACTTATATTTTTTTTAAAAATTAGTTTTAAATATTAGATAAATCACGTACTATTAGTTTGTTTTTATTTTCATGAATTCAATATGACTCATTCATACATTTCAATTGTTCTCCATGTATTAATTATGACTCTTAGAGTCATACATGTAGTGTAAGAGTGAATATTATATAGTTATAAACACAAAGTAACCATATATGTTAAACCCTATTATGTTTATATTTATTTAACTTCTTAATCTATTCTTTTGATATAAATTTTTATCTCTGATATTAAAATTTAAAAAATATTGATTAAACATATTTTCTATATCATTTTATATTTAAAAATTAACTCAACCTTTATAACGTATAAATTCTAAACATGTTTACTATTTTCTTTTTTCTGCAAATAAATTCAAATTAAATATATTTTATCATAGTATTTTAAAAATACAATTTAACTTAACCATTAATTTTATTAAATACAACAAATTCAATAACCTATAGGTTTTGTTTGGCAAGACTGTTGTGTTTATGGCTCTTTTTACAATGTTATATTTTGTGTTAATAGATTTTTCCTTATAATTGGATAAATTAATATATTCAATAATTGTCATTTTCTTAAGATTTTATAATTTATTTTCATTGATTTATAGTTTGTTTTAATAAACTAAATCAAGTAACTTATGGTTTTATTTTCCTCACCTTAATTCCAAGAATCTTAATTAAAATATTAAAGTTAATTAAACTTATTTTTTTATGTCATTTGAGATTTATAAGTTCCTTCAACCATTACAACTATCATACACTTCAAATTCAATCAACTTGGAAAAATTCTACTAGTACAAGTGAATGAATGGTTATTTGTTATTTTATACCCAAAAAATGTTTATAAATGTATTTTATAGC